ATATCCACTAAACTAGCGCTTTTCTTCTTCACCTTAATCGTAGTATCTCCTCAATCGAACGAATTTGATTCCTAATCACAACTCCCCCCTCTGTCTTACCCCAGTACGACCCCCCAGGTCGGGCGCGCCTGACCCCACGCTCAACCCTGGTTATCACACTAGACGAGTGGGAACTTCAGTAAGCTCCTCGGACATATAAGCTGATATGCCAGCAAAGCGACGATCGCGAAGAAGACACGTTGCAATTTGGGTGGCTATATTGACCTAAATTTTGAGCCTTTTTACCTGAGGCTTGTGAGGTGACGGTTTACTACTTTGGGTTATTAAACAGATAAAGCGCTTATATTAGCTCGAAAATAACTATAAATTGCGATCCACGCTCCTTACGGGAGACGGTCAAGTGCAGCGATTTCTCCGGCTGTCACTAGCTCAAAACTTCAGTTTAGTGCTATGCGCGAGTCCTCAATAAGTACCAGATAAAGTACAGTAGCTTACTATCTGTCAATACTAACTGCTGTGTTTGGCTGCTTTTGCTGGAATATGGACCGAAATATTAACGAATTTCTTCTCAACTGCATTTTCATGGGTTTTTGACTTCTAAAGTTGATGTTTCAAACCGATTCCAAGGTATTAAGATTGAGCAACCCATGCAACAATCTGATAAATCTCCTTTTAAAACTTGAATACTTTTAGAAATCATAAAACACTTATTATGTGCTATTTGGTGTCCATCTGGCAATAAAAATCGCTCCTCTTGACATACATCCGCTTCTTACCAGGGTCAAGTTTCGCAATTTTTGTAAATTCTTGTACTGATCCTTCGAAGAAGCCCATGTAACCTGCGGATAGAGCAAACGAAGTAGGATACAAAACAATTTGTTCTCTTTCCCAGAGCTCTTCATAATCTTTTGACAGAATTACCCATACCAGACGCAGGCTCGTCCTACTCTAATAAATTCTCGATTTTTGATACTTCCAAAAAATATTGTTCACCAATCTTTTTAGAAAAGAAACGAGCGTTTGAGGGTTTGAAATATTAGATTCTGATTTTCGGGGTACATCTTGGGACGTCATCAAAAACACGAATTTGTCGATTTGTCATCCAAAAGTTTACGAATTGGAAACAAGAAACGTTTCTCTGAAAGAGGAGAAAGTGCTGCATCGAATAACACCCGAGCTGCTTGCCGGCTAATGTTCTATGAGTTTTAGGCTGACAAAATATGGAATTTGATAGCATCAAAAAATAATTCTAAAAATTGTGGAAATTAAGCTTTGGAAGGGGCGAAAATTGTTTTGTGTCCTGCTTTGTTTGTTCTATTCAAAGATTACGTGGACCTGTCCGGGAAATCAGTACAAGAATTTAAGTAAATAGCGGAACATGACCATGGCAAAAAACCATGACAGCAGTTTTTGGTAGTTTTCTGGGAGCTCGCTTGTTGTAGTGCAATATAAAAACAATTTTTTGAAAGAGCACGAAAAACTGCATCGGATGCTTCCGGGTTCTTCTCAGGATGTTTGCTCTGCGAGTTGTGGCACCCATGCAAAAAAAAGCGAAAATACTTTCGGGAAAACCCGGTGTAAAGTTGACTCTTTTACTCTCATAAAACTTGTTGATAAATTTGTGCATCTTACCTAGGGCTATTCGAAATGCACGAGATAAAAATAATTCAAGACTGCTTGTTTGGCAGAGCCGAATTGAATGTTTGGTTTGCTAAATAGCTTCCAGAATTTTCCAGTTTGAAATGCAAAAATTTTGCTAAAAACTAATAAGCTTTTTAGTTAGGGTGAAAGGAAAAATGGCTGTCATTTGCACATCGACAGGTCCTTAGAGATGAGATTAACAGTTGAGCTGAATTATAATCAAACTAAAACCTTTCCAGGTAGATTATAGAATGGTTGCAGTACACTATAGGCCCACTTACAACGAGTAAGTGCCTTTCAGCTCAGTGTCTGATATAAACTCATAGTGTGCTTGCTTCATAAGGAATTAAGATATATGTATATTTGAAAATCACTTTCAAACAATTTCAGGCATTTTCTAAGTCAAGTTTTTCTTGAAAACTGCCAAATTTTGCGATAGATATATTGTGCTTTCCTTGACTCACTTTCTCCATAAGTACAGCCAATGGTCAGCTTTTTCATGGCAGCGTTTTGCAAAAAAGTGGTTTAATTTCCTTGGAAATCCATGAAAGAACAAAACAGAAAAATTTACTTAGGCTTACAGGCCTGTAAAAATTTCAGAAGGCATTCCAAAATTTTCAGAAGGTGCACTTAGCGCCTTTTGTCGATAATCGAACCAAAAAAAAAATTCAGGATGTTCAAATATCTTGGAAGGCCTTTAAATTAGTGTTAGAAATTTGCGCTCCCCTCCCCCCCTCCTCTCTCCCTACTGGAAGACAACGCTACATAAAAGTTCGAGAATTTCTTTAGTAACAAATGTTTGGAGCGTAGCATTACCAAAGGAAGGTGGGAAACTTCAGAAACTCATTGCTTAATCATCTCGTAACAATTGTATATTCTTGCCCGGACCGTACTCACTATGGAAACGAGGGAGCTGATCGGTCCGTTCGAAAGCATTATGGTCTGGGCCGGAGTTTATTCTTGGATTTCTAAGCTACTTTAAATAACAGGAGCTTCCGCTTGGGCAGCGGCTTACCTTAGGCCGTTACATTAGTATCTACGTAAGGTTCAGTTACCCAGATTTCCCTGAATTATCTTTGAATGAAAGTTTTCCACTTATGTTCTTTCCTCGAATTCATAAAGTTCCTCGTCTGATTTCGGGTGCTTGCAAATTGCCTCCCTCGCTCCTACATGGCTATCTGTTCCGCTATTCATTTATGAAAGTTTGAGCGTTACCTTAGCTCCAGGGCTCGGCATATGTGGCTTGTAAACAAGCTGGATATCGTTTTTGGGACGAAAAGCAAAGGGGTATCATTTTTGAAGCCAATAAGACACAAAAATTGTGGTGTTTGTGGTTTTTTTAGTCGACGTTTCGTTTTTTGAGTGTGTTTTCTCACGTTTAGGGTTTAGGTCAAAGGAAATTTCGTAAAAATTCGCGGCCGTCCAAAAAATTCACTTCGTGCCAAGCCGTGCTTAGCTTTGCCCGTATTCGCTGTAATTTCATTTTTACCGAATGCCATCGTTTTTTCTTACACACCAACAACTGTGCCTAAGACAGCAATGGATTTCGAAGAAACTGAATTCCTATCCTTACGGAAGACTTGCTCTACAACGAAGATGTGCACGTATATTAACGTTCTAGTTATTTTATGTGGGATTCCTGACTCACTCACTGTTACATCATTTTTAACAAATTTGTAAATAAAGTGCTGCTTCAGAACAACTCTGCATAGGAGCGGCCTATTGTTAGATCAAAAACGACTTCTTTTCCCCGTTAGATATTACGTCGCCATTTTGTCGCTCAATAATTCAAACGCTGCTTTTCGTAGTGCCATATTTCAATTCGTTCAATTCGAGGGAATTGATTTCTGGAAAAAAGAATTTATCAAGATTTGTTTTAATTCCAGAACGTTTCCCACATCAGACAAACAAGTATAATCGTGGTAGTGCATTGTGACAGAGGTAAATAATATATTAGGTTGTACCGGAAGTTCTGTCGTTTCATTTTCAAAAATTTGTAACTTCGCAAGATTTCAACGGATTTGCTTGCCTGTAATTTTATTAGAAAGAACAAGTCTTCCGCTTTCAAATGCTGTTTTGCTGAGCTTCCGTTTCACATTGGATGCGGAGATATAAATGGAAAACTAAGACCACGTAAGATTTGACCATTTTAAGTTAGGTCACCAAAAATCTGGAATGCTGCGGAAAAATCTGAAATAGTTAGTACATATGTTCTTTGACCTACTCTTTGCAAATGTGAAGAATATGTGCTGTTCGGACGTCTCTGTGAGAAGTTATGATTTTCGCGAAAATTGACAATTTAATTAATTTTGGCGTTTTCCATAGTAAACTCGATCTTCATAAATTCTCACAGAGACTTCCAAACAGCACAAACTCTTTACAGTTGCAAAGAGTAGGTCAAAAAACATATGAACTAACTATTTCAGATTTTTCCGCAGCATTCCAGATTTTTGTTGACCTAACTTAAAATGGTCAAATCTTACATGGTCTTAGTTTTCCATTTTTATCTCCGCACCCAATGTGAAACAGAAGGTCCGCAAACAGAGTTTGAAAGCGGAAGACTTATTCTTTCCAATAAAATTTCAGGCAAGCAAATCCGTTGAAACCTTGCGAAGTTACAAATTTTTGATAATGAAACGACAGAACTTTCGGTTTAACCTAATATAATGTAAGATAATTATAATTCTATCACTTTCCATATAACAACTTTTTCGGTGCAAATGCTGACAATTCATACTTTGATTTTACCTTCTTTTAGCTGATCTCATGTTTTTTACAGTAATAATTATTCAAGAGCAAGGCATTATTTGCTCGCCTATCCTGACTTCTTTGTGTTTCTCGATTTTTGAAAATGAGATAAACACACAAACATGCATAAGGCTATACCTGAGCAAGCTAGAAATCTATAGAAATTTTTTTGAACAAATTGTTCCCAAAAATGTGCCTACTATTTGATTCTTGATGATTCCCTTGTCGTGAAATCTTTTGAGGAGGTTTAGGTACCATTTTGTAGAGCTGGCTTCAACTTAGGTTCGTGGAGCGAATTATTCATCCCTTTTCACCACTGTAGTATTAACACATTGGCGAGCGCTCGACACTCATGGTGTGTCAAGACCAGAATTTTGTTAAAATGACTACTATCCTGAGATAAAATCACTCCATGAGCTTTTTTGCATTGTGTTCAGGGGTGACCTCTATCTTTTTTGTCAGACTTTCAAATCTACTGTAGGTATACTGTAGATGACAGTAAGCGTAATTATAATTGGAAAGTGTGGGCTGATCCGTAAAAAGCCTTGATCCTAAAATGCAGACAATTGAAAATCTGCATGGTCGTCAATGTATAAGGTAGGAACTTGCAGCATATGGTGCCCGAGAATGGCTGTTACTCGTACATCGCCGATTATTGAAGACAAAGCGTATCTGAGGGTTGAGTCAGGATCAAACGAGAGGATGTATCTTGTTAAATCGCAAAGAGGTTGCAGTACGCTATATTGCACTACAGTTGTGACAGTGGAATGTGAAAAATTTCGGCGAATTCGCCGAATTCGCCGAATTCGCCAAATTCGCCGATGTCGCCGAATTCGCCGATGTCGCTGAATTCGCCGATGTCGCCGATGTACTTGTAAAGAGCCAGCAGACATCAGGTTTAGTATATTTAGCGAGAAGTGCAAAAAGCGTTTGTTTTATGAAGATTCTAATTGTAGGTTCAAACTAGCTATATAGTACAGCTTTTAAATTACTCCACCAGCTCTGTAAAGATTTCCATTGCTGCGGTGCGATTTGTTCAATAAACATTCGCAGGTATTTTCTGATCCCATATTTTTCCACAAGTCGAAAAGCGATTAATGTGATTTTGTGCTTCTCTAATTACCAAGTCCGCAGATTAGCCAAGTGCTTCGTCAGTGTTGCCAATAGCTCCAATGAAAGTAACTTTATCACACTCTTTAATAAACAAAAAATCTTTATATGAACTTGTATTAAAATTTTTTTACAGGTTTTCCGGCCGAAAAACCGAAAGCATCCCAAAGGCATTTTTGGATGGAATGAACAACGCCATGCCAGCTCATTCGCGTTTCGTTTTTCCCGCTCCCGCCCCCGCTCCCTCCTTCTCTCCCCTCCCCTCTGATCGACACTGTCAGGCGCTACAGTTCAGGCAATGATCTACTCAACAATCAGATCACAATATCTTTCAAAAAGAGTTGAATTAATGTGCGATATGGATATTAATTTTACCACCAGCCTCTGGCATTTTCTGGTCTATAGTGAAAAGCGCAAAGAATTAGGCCTTTTGTGGAAGTATAGGTTGAGAGGCCTGCTTTTTAATTTGAAGCTCCAGACAGGGCTCGGCACGAGATGGCTAGATGAAAATCGAAAAAACGAAGTCCCCCTTGACTTTTGGGAATTTTTACGAAGTCCCCTTTGACCCTCAACCATATTTCCTCTAAAAAACTAAAAAAATCTCCAAAAAACAAAACGTCGACTAAAAAAACGTCGCCAATTTGCGTATGTCTTCGGCCACAAAAACGAAACCCCCTTTGCTTTTTGTCCCAAAAACGGTATCCAGCTTGCTTGTAAGCCACCTCGTGCCGAGCGCTGGCTCCAGATGATAGCGATTGCTGTTCGCGATTTGCAAGAAAAATCAAAGTTCTTTGCCCCAATCACGTGCAGCTCCCTTCGCTTTCCTATAGATATTCTTTTTTTCTTTTTAGCTCATATAATTTTTTAGTGGACACTGTATTTTGCATTACATTTCAACCAAACTTTATTGCATAGATCACTGAAATATTGGAAACCGTCACAAGCTAATCAAGTCATGTTGAAAAAGACGTTGGTCTGAGCATCATTCTGCTTGAGATAGGATGAATGATATCATTTATTCCACTCATGGTCCAAAACATACCTGGAATTGAAGAATCACTAGATACTGGAAGAAGTTGATAGGGAAGAAAGTGCTCCGCTTTGTTCGAAAAAAAATCGAAATATCTCTCACCGTATCCGTTCGCTTCAGCAAAATCGTAATCTCCATTTAGTGACGTAAGAGCACAATTGCGTAACCACCATCCCCTGAAAATGTAGTGTTTCCAGACTGTTGATGTCACACCCACCACGAAATTATTACTGACAGATTTATAATCCTCTCAATTTCAAGGCATATAAAAATACAGTTTTGAAAAGCTGAGCTGTAGAGTCAAAATTTCAATAAAAAGTGATATATCAAAGTGTACTGTAGGTTCCTCATCATAATCAATGAAATCCTTCCGTTCTTATTGTTAGTCACATTATCTGTAGCGGCCAACAAGCAAGTCATTAGCGACCAAAAAGTAGGAAAAAGTTTTTCTTTTGAGAATGCTCGCCACGTATTCTGTAGATCTCTTTAGCGTGGGCTTTGGCTATGAATTTGGTAAAAAGCCTCTCTTTGCGAACGGGTAGTTTATAACATGCAAAAAAGAATTGTTGAAATACACTATACAAAGTCCTCCAAAAAAGGAATTTTGCAGAAAACTTAATGGAGGAGCGGCTTCTCAGGAAAAAGCGCCCCGAAATGCGCCAACGAAAACCCGGACTTATTCTGTAAAATATAAACACACTAACCCCATTTTGAATTTCCACGCACAGTCCAGTTCAGGATCATTGACGCGGTCAATCGTAGAGAATTCTGCGCCGACAGAATACATCAAAGCATTCCTAAACAAATGTATCCACATTAGTCTACAGTCACTGGCATTGCAATACAAGAAATATATAAGTATTACCACATACTGTTGCCCTGTCCTTTGTTATCGACATACAAGTCTGTCAGTTGATACTTGGACGATTCTCCTGCTACCTGAATTTCAAATTTTGCTTAAACGAAAGAAATTTTTACAAATACCATGCGAAATTGGAACCACAGACCACAGAGGCTCCGTAGGAAAGGAATCTTTAGTAGGAACTGCAGTGAGCCAGTATTAGCCAACTCATTTTTCTTTGAATTTCCAGTATATATAATTTCACTTGTTTGAATTTGGGGACTGAGAATGGGAGAGACGACATTAGGTCGCCGAAAGGGTAGGCCCGGATAATTGCCATAAACCGCGCGCCTCTACACATTACCAGTTGCTAGTTTTTCGCGGGGGGGGGGAGCCTATTAGCGACCTAATTCCTCTACCTAAAAAAAAAGTGCGCTTGGCTCTTTCCGAGATGAAAAATTGCCTTTTGTAGAAGAAACGTGTTGAAGGGTTCGAAAACTTTGGTTCAAAACGTTGTAAACGAGTGCAGCAGGACAAGTCAGAAAAAATCCATGTAAGTTAAGGTCACTTACTGCAAAGAGTATGAGCGTCTTTTCTGTACCTAAACATTTCCCACTTTCGCAGAACTCAATATGATAAATGACAAGCTGGGCTGAATTAGTAAGCAAATTGACACAATTCCGCAAATATTTGCGCTCTGGCTAAATGTATCCTAGTAACTTCACAACAATGCTTCCTCATCCTAGTAACTCCAGTTACTATGATGAGGAAGCAAAGTTGCGTTAGATGCATCTATTTATTTACAGGGTGTCCCAAAAGTCTTTAAGTAACTTCCCAACGTATTTAGTAATTTTGTTAGTATTCCTCGCTTATCAGTCAAATTTTGCGTGTGAATACCTCGTCGAATTTTAGTCCTCGCGAAAATCATACCGTTTGCGCTGTACATTCTCAGGATACTGTTCTTGGAGCAAACAGTACTACGATTTGGAGGACGACCCAACTAAACGTACCCTTCTTTCGAACATCTATAGCTGTTTTGCTTTCGAAGCTCTTGCGGAATCTTAAACTACTTATTGTAGAGCTAGTTTAACTCTACGTTTACGGTGCAAAACAATTCAGTAGTGTTTGTTCGTTAAGGTAGGATTAAGATAGGAACACTCAAAATAGTGTCGTGTCAGTAAGAAAAAGAAGTTTCCGGAAACAAAAATCCGAGAAAGCAAAAAACTTCACACCAATTCCGTTTAAGTCACTTATTCTGGCTGTAACCTCTGCATTTTTTACGCATCATTTCAAAGTCAATCCATGTACACCATAATTGCTGTTTTCTTGACATACTCAAGAACTTGATGGCTACATTTTGACACTTTTGTTAAATTTCACAGACGCGCTTCTCAGGTCATCGTGCTTCTAATCGCTGGCTCAAAGGCCTTTGACTTTTCTCTGTTATTAACATGGAAAGCAAGGCTTGCTCTGTTCCAAACTAAATTTTGTGCAATCTGGAACGCTTGTTTCTGAAGGTGTGAGACATTTTCGACGTCAACTACCTCTCTGCCACGGTGCATGCGTTCCGCAAGAGTGTGAGGGACTGTGTGAAGGCCAAATGAGAGTTTTTCGAAATCTGAGTGTACCTTGTCATTTTATAGGTTATTCACATAATTCCCTTTAAATTTCATGTGTCAATGTTGCTTCGCACAGTTGCAGCTGAAAGAAATACTAGGCTCAAAGACTTTTGGGACCAGGGTCAAGCTTGATGCGACTGTTGCGACGGGGGGCTATATCAGTGCAAAATTTGGTGTTATTTTTTCATCTGCGGATTTTCTCATGATTTTATGTATGATTGCGAAAAATGAGAAAGTGGGATCGTATCTGTCCCTCATCTAAATTTCTCCGGAGCTATTGGAGATTGTTAGCTGCAAACTTGGTGTAATACGAGGCCATCTCTCTACTTCTTATCACAAGAATTTCAGGCTGTTTCATAACTTCTCCGATGAGATACAAAATTTCAAGCTCAAAAATCCACTTTTTGCTTTTTAGGATTGCATCTAAATTTGCGAGAGTCGCATCTAGACTATTCGAGCTTTGCTCCTCAATGGCTGAAAGTTTTTCATGGATGGTATGGGCACTGTACTACAAAGCCTGTTCATTTCAGCCTCTCGGCCTTTCCCTGCCTTTAGTTACGCATTTTCAAAATACCGTGCTCATGCACGTTTTTGACATCTTTCTGGATGGCGCTAAAACAGTTTTTTTTTTGCACGGAAATCTGCGCGAAAAGTAGGAAGTAAGCCTTTTAGTCGAAAACATATTTTACGCTTCAAAGATATCGTTTTTTCCCTTTCAAAAAAATGGTGTCGCGTACCGAATTTGCTGGCCAGAAGTACGCTCGAAAATTCAAAAAAAAAACTGCAGAAACCCAAACATTATTGAAGGTGTGTATGCGTGCCAGAGATGTTGCACGTATACCCCTTGGCTCAGAAATTCTGTTTCCGAAGCCCCACTGAAGTCTCACACACTCGACAACATCCCATATCTTTTACCAACGTGACCGCCAATAATTTGTAAATCTTAGAGTAAAGCTTGATTATCATTCAGATCGGAATCAATGTTCTGCTTTGTCAGATAATGTCCTTTTCATTCATATTTTCCCAACCACAATATTCATAGCCAAATCTTCGTGGAATTTTACTACATACCCAATCTACGCAGAATTATTTGTGAGTTGGTTTTTGAATGGCGAAGCATTACTTGCATTATTTCCCATTTTGTAATTAGCTATCTATTTCTGTCCTATGATTTTAATTAAGGTCCATTGGCAGACATCTTTTGATGATTGACATTTATTTATGCAAGTTACGCAAAAGAAAGTGGGAGGGGTAGGTGGGAGGGGAGGGGGTATGTGGGAGGGGGGGGGGGGGGTAGATGAGGAGGGGGTTGTACGGATAGGTACCTTCAAAGGGGGGGGGTGGTAGAAGAGGGTCTAGGATCGCATGAGCACGCTCAACCCTGTTTGGGACACCCTGTAGCTGCTCTTTTGCAATATTTGCCCCCCCCCCCCCCCCCCAGCTTAGCGGGAAAAACAAAACTTTGCGGAAGGCCAAATAATGGGTTAGATAGGTTTTCGGTTTTTGCACGACCTGCATGACTCCGAGTCTATTCGGAAAGAATTTATAATAGCACGTACTAACGAGGGAGGACACAAAGCCGAATTAGCCGATCACTACAAACTGCATACCATTAGTGAAAGCTTGTTACGTTGATTTCAAATTCGCCTTCCTGTTTACAGAGCATGTTTGGGGAAGAAATTATGGGCATTTTTGGAGTCAATATGAATTAACGGCCGGGATAAAATCAGTCGCTAGGGAATCTCTAGACCGTAAATGAAGCAGCGGCTCGTGTCAGGACACTTCGTACAATAATCCTTCTGTCTACTACGCAGTACTTCCTATTTCTCTCTTTGACATCTAGGAAGGCTGTAACGATAGATTTTACCTCGGACCTTGATCTATTTTTTACCTGTAAAAAGCTCAAAACTTCTTTATGAAAAGAGCTCTGCAGAGAAAAAAAGCAAATTTGTACGAGACCCTCCTTGAAAAAAATGGCAGAAGACTTTGATCAAACTTCGGTTTTGTTGCGTTTAGCAAAATTTCTGCACCTGCAAAAAATGCCTAGCAGGCCGTAAGTTTCACGCCATGCTCCTTCCAACTCGACACTTTGATTGAACATTCGTCGAAATGATCGGAGCAGATTACAGGAAATCTGGTTTTTGGTATCTTTCCTCGAAAATCATTACTTTTGAATTAAGAGATAGATTTACACACTTTTTACCTGAGCAACTCATGACACTTTCAATAGCCCCCTTATAATAAGCGAAGCTTTCGAATAAAATCAAAATTTGAGCGATTGTTGTCTGTCCCTCCTATCCATGCCATATATCAGGTTGTCCCATAAGTTCCATCCGTTTAAATTTCGACCGCAATAAGTCATACACTTCTCGTTTCTAAATAGGTTGCAAGGTACCGTTCGATATAGCAAAGCAAGCTCAACAAGACGGCTATCTTGATTTTGCACCATCTCTGATCCATCTCGAGATTCAAGCCGAAAATCAAAAAGATTCAATTGCCTGAAAAATCGAGAAAAATCATAACTTCGTTTAAAAAAATCCTACGAAAATTCTAACTTGCTTTCGTAAACACTATCCATCCAAGACATTTATATACGCCTTTGCCGTATTTTTTCCTCGGTTAGGAATTAAGAAAACGAAGATTTTTTTGCTTTTGCCAAAATGATGCTGTGCTGTCCCTACATAGATAGCTGTATACTACTAGCCTGTAGAAGTACAAAGAAGAAATTTTCAGTATAAGCTTTAGTTCTTGAGAAGTATCGAATATAGCTTGCCTTACGCTTACGCTAAAATCCACATTTCTCGGAAAATAATGCTTGTAAGGAGCTGAAAATTTACATTTGTGCTTCTGCAGGCTAGTAGTATACAACTATCTATGTAGGGACAGCACAGCATCATTTTGGCAAAAGCATGAAAACCTTCGTTTTCTTAATTTCTAACCGAGGAAAAAATACGGCAACGGCGCATATAAATGTCTTGGATGGACAGTGTTTCGGAGCAAGTTAGAGTTTTTGTAGGATTTTTTAAAAGAAAGTTATGATTTTTTCTCGATTTTTTGAGCAGTTGATTTTTTTAGTTTTCGGCTTGAATGTCGAGATGGATCAGAGCTAGTGCAAAAGCAAGATAGCCGTTTTGTAGAGCTTGTTTTGCTCTATCGAACATACCTTGAAACTTATCTAGAAACAAGAAGTTCATGATTTATTGCGATTGAAAATTAAGACGGACGGAACTTATGGGACAGCCTGATATTAGGTTATAAAGAAAGTTCTGCCAATTCCTCTCTTCAATACCAAAAATGAATGCTAATGCAAAGGGCTGGTTTGGAATGTGTTATTAGTGTGCGAAGGCCCTAGCTACCTAACACGCTATTCAGCTCGAAAAAATGGCGATCAACTGAGAAGAGCCCAAAAAAGGAAATTCGTTGCGCTCAGGTCTGGGAAAAGTCACATTTTCCAGATTATGGACGTGCAGAACTTCTAGAAGCTTGATTTGAAAATCCGTTTTTATCGCATGTATTGGCTAGGTGAAGCAATATCTGACGATTATTTGCCCCGTTGGGTCTTTTTGCAAGCAAAAAATAGCTCATTGAAATCAGGGTTCAAAAAATCGAACTCTCCACATGTTTGAAACGCAGCCAGCTCGCTTTTAGAAAGAGAGCATCTATGACATACCCAACCAGGAGTCCAAGGTTGTCAGTACACATGATCAAAATATCGCTAGCCACTCACGATGAAGATGTAAATAAAACAATTTAGCTCAGCGTATATTGGCAGAACTTTCTTTACAACCTAATATTTGCATAGAAAACCGCTTACTAGGGAACGGTCAGAATCGAAGTGGCCAATTCAAGCAAGCTGCATACCATCAGATGCAGCATAAAACGCTGACTCCAAATCTGTCTTTCTTACCTGCAGAACACTTTTGTGAATGAATTATAAGCCGTTAAAAGCCATTATTTTGCTAAGGAATTGTGTATATAAAAAGCAAACTTGACCGTACACGCCATTCCTGGCTCAGTGCTAGACCAAAATATGCAGCTAGGTCACTTCGTATGGGCAGCACCTAAAGGTGAGCGAAAAGGGCATTAATGTGCTTAATCTTGCAATCGCTTTGCAGACACGGAAAACAGATTTAAAATCAGCTCTCTGATTTGCATCGAAAGGTATGCAGCTTGTTTGGATTGGTCACTCCGACTTCTGACCACTTGTTAGATGATATTTAACAAGTTTCAAACCGCGAAATCGCGCGCGGCGAAAAAGAGTGCACTTTCGGCCGTTAGCCAGCAAAGGAACCTTATTTCGCAGATTGTGGACTACATATGTAATCAGCATGCCAGATAAGCTCCATACCCAAAGTTCTGGGTGAATTCGAAGCGTTTGAATTCTGTCGCTTGAGAGGGACTTTTGTGCCTTTATGAAAGAGGAGCAAGAACTCAGTTTCAAATAGTATCTAAAAGTATCTATGTTGTACACTGTTCTCGTCACTGTTGAAACTATGGTTTATCGTTTTGAAATCGGCAAAGAAAAGTTGCGACGTCGCACGCGTCGTTCGCGTTGCGGCACCTCGTTGCGATTGTCGTTCGATTTGTCCTTATATCTGGTAAACAAATATCGGCGGCACAGCTCTACAGAGTCATTTAAAAAGTAAGAGCTTAGACCTTTAACTCAATAACTTCGGACTTAAAATAAACCTCCTGCAATCGTCAGAAAGAACTTTCAAAGCAGCGTGCTGCACCGTGTGCAGCACCGGTCCGAAACGTGTTAATGCGCAGAATCTCTCCTTTCAAAAAAGATTGACAATGCATTTCAGTTTATAACGACTTATTTTTCCGAAGGCGGTCAAAACTTCTCTGCCAATCTAACATGGAATAACTTCAGACGAAATTGGTAAGAGGGGCGTCATCATCGGTACCTTATTTTATAATACATATTAGGTCGTTCCAAAAGTTTTTTCCGTTTTTTCAACCTATCATAAAAACACGTGGAACAAAGATAGGGAAACGCTTCAGGCACTTCCCGACGCGGCTTTTCATCCTCTTTTCAACTGTCATTGTGCCACTTGCTTTTGTGGTCAGTGAGATAATCGCCGAAATTTCGAATCCATGGTTTTTACAGTCCGACTTTTTCGATTTTTCACAATCTTCATTTTCAACTCTTCGAAAAAGCTTTGATAACAGTCGGATAGAGTAAACAAATGCAATGCAATGCAGTTTTTTGGCAATCTCAAGTGGCTTCTCAGTATTTTTTGAGATAACTTTTCCAAAAGTCTTCATTTTTTCGCAATCACAAAAACACACAAATGCTCCGAATATCAACAAATCTTCGGATTTCGAAACTTTCAGAAGTCGTTTATGATTGTCCACTATTTTTACAAAGTACCTGAGCGTTTACCGCTTCGGAATATAAGATTTTGCATTTCACGTGTACAACTTAGACTGGTTCAAAATCAAGAATTATGGAAATTTTATCGCCGAAGACCCCACAAGTTGGAAAGAAAAACACTCCTTAGAAAGAAGAGGAAAAGCTGCATCGAATACACCTTAGTTGCGCGCCGTTTTATGTTCTATGGCTCTTGGCATCCCCTAAAGTGGAATTTGATAGCATAATAATTCTAAAAAAATTTTAAGGCTAGCTAGAGATGCCGAAAAATTGACATGGTAAAAACCATGGGTTCGAAATTTCAGCGATTATCTCATTGATCACAAGAGCAAATGGCAAATGGATACGACATTTGGAAAGAGAAAGAAAAGCTGCGTCGAATAATGCCTAGAGCGTTTCCCTATCTTTGTTCCACGTGTTTTTATGATAGGTTGAAAAAACGGAAAAAACTTTTGAAACGATCTAATAAAAATTGAGGTAGTTATAGATGAGTTATAAAATTGTGCATTAACTTGTTTTTTTTGTGATTGATCAATTTATATTTCAGAATTCTTCAAAAATTTGAATTAGTTTAAATAAATGTTGCGGGGCGTGATTGACGCCATGCTACCTTTCACAAGGACTTTGAATCTAAACGATTTGTATCTCACAAGGAGAGGATACTTAGTCGAAAGCACCAATTCAGATGAGGCATACATCATCGTAACCTGCTCGGAGTGCTGATTTCAAATCTTGCAATCAGCTGCGGAGCGCCTTTGGGCAACGAGTTATGGTTGTTTTTGTGGAGAAAATTTGAGGTTGAGGGAAGAAAAAAATTATACACAGAAGTCTCCAGTTGGGCTCGATTGGGGGAGTGATGTCTGTCAGATTACTCTGCGCAAAGAAAAATGTCTGTCTGCTATACCCACGCTTGAAAGGAGTCTATTTGCGAAATATACATGTTGTAACAATCAATTTTATCCTCTCTACCCATTCAATTTTTGGCTCTTGAAACGGTCATAGCTCCTCGCTCAGAAGCGTTCCGCAGGTAAGGAGGACAGATTTGAAATCAGCGCTCGAGCAGGTCACTATGATATATGTCTCATCTGGGTTGGTGCTTTCGACTAAGTATTCTCTCCTTGTCAGAAACTTATCTCTTTCTGGCACATGGCTAACGCCACCCCCTTTAATTCAAAACAAATCGACGCTCCTACCCTTCCCACCCCCTCCCCCCCTCAAAAAAAAATTCTCGGACCACCACTGGTTACACTGCTGAGTTAAAAGAAGATTATGTGTGACCATCATGAAAGCAGGGTACTAGTATAAATGGTCACAACAACCGAGTTCCGACATGGCTTATCGGCAGGGGACGAGCAAAGGGAATGCCATCCTCTACTCTTTCTTTATGAGTGCTCAATGCTCAACTTCATATGTAAAACAGTCTCAGCCTGCAAACCTTGAATCTGGTGTATTCATTGAACCAAGACGACGATGCTTTGGAAGATCCTGGAGTTCGATCTCCCATCATTTCGACTCTGAGTGTAACATCCTTGTCTTTAGCTGTCAGCTGATGCAACAATTCGCTTCCTAACCAAAAGTTGGAATTCTGAAACTACTTGCTGCACTTCAATTTGTACGGAAAGTTTGAATAATTACATCGGTCAACCGCTCTGTGTTGAAGCCATCTTTGTAGTCGTCCCATGTTCTATCCCAAAATGATTCGTCCCCGATCATACGACTGGAATCGGGCAAGCAGTCATTTGGTTTTTTCATTCAAAACTTAGATTATGCAAAGATGATCAGAGTAACTCGTCTCTGTTGTTTTTGCATTCTATAAAAGATTTGCAAAGATGATCGATAACTCGTTTTTGTAGTTTTTGCATTTTATAAACAACCGATTAAGGCTACATTGTGTGATTGTGCAAGTCTAAAGAGGGCTATAAAAGGCAAGAGAAGGGAGATCTGAGAAGCGAATGCAGTTTTCCGGTTTCCCGTACTTCTCATACAGACTTCACAACTCAAAAAGTCGTAAATGTAGCTTTCGGTTGAACATATCCAGAAAGCCCACGAAGCCCTCAAATAAGTTCGAGCGCTTTCTTGAAAGGATCACTTTTGGAAAACTGTCCATCCACCGCCATTATCCATGCTGCAATAAACATCGTGCGAAGTTCCATTAAGCGATATCTTGTATGCTCCGTTGCTAAAAACTTGAACCTTGATTGCTATATTTAGAAATGAAAATATATGCCAACTCTTTGTAACCCGCTTTGTACCAGTCAGCACAGTCTGTCATCTCCTGAGGTATTTCACAGGCAAAACAATACGTCGAACTGCTGACGTAGGTTCTCCAAAATCCTTAGTAATTGTTCATTTTTTTGCCGAATCATATTCTTGACTGATAACAGCGCACCTGTATTGATTTCCAAATAGATGTAATACGTGTAACTATTACCATTCGGTTCACCTGAATTGGAGTCATTACAAAAGCAGATAAATAGAGTGAGTTCAACTGTGTAAAGTTGTAGCAAATACATAATACCCTTTTCAACGTTCTATTGAGTTCTGCCACTTAAGCAATAGGAAAAATCATGAATGCAAAATGGTACCGTTTGCCCAGAAAGAGTAGTCAAAAGGTGTCCCATCACTCCAGGAAACGCTGTAGTTATATGTTAAGCCGCCAGTCCAGATGTTAGAGCAGTAATTGGACACGTTAAGGCCAAGCTCTGAAAATTTAGTTTGTAAACAAAGGTAAACCTGGTACGTGAAAGCTATGAACATACATCTCGCTGGCGCTACAGTCCCTAACTATCTACATGCTTTTAGGTCACAACATGCGGAACAAGTTGATCAAGTATAATCCTTCTCCTTAATTTTCTCTCACAAAAAGCTGGATCTATATGAACTCCCCTTGAGTTGTGAAGACTCGCTCGGAGAGCGGCAAAAGCCCGTTTCATGCCTTTTTGCTGCCACCCCATGATAAGCGATAAGCGACGTGCACGGAGGACGTAGGTAACGACGGAGGCATATGCCCGGCGCAACGCCGCGGCAACTCGGCCGGCGCAACGAGGCAGCACCAGCGTGCCCGTCATGCAGGCAGTCGGGAACTAGTGGGTTTCGATAGGAGATGCAAAGAGGTCGTGTTGTTGTGCCACCACCCCGGACGTACTCGACCGCTAGTCGTGCCGACACACGACTAGCGGTCGAGTACGTCCGGGGTGGTGGTGCAGCCCGCTGTCCGTAAATGCATGCAAAGAATCAGAATGCACGTCAAATGCAATCAATATGAACAGCTGATAGCGCACAGTCGCAAGACGCACAGCTAAGAATCTTTTTCCCTGTTATTATTTCTTCTGTTGCTTGCTTTGGAACCTAGACAAGATAAGCCGTTTTTGATTAGCATGCATTCTCATATAAGCATGCAATCTCAAGGTATGAAAATTTCTATATTTCCAACATATCTTCAATAGTTTGTTTGCACGCTAGTTTGCGCCCAAAAGCCTTTAAACTTAAAAAAACTTGGCATGCATGTGTTTCTTCATATCGCTTTGCAAAAGATTCGCTGTACAGTCGAGTAGATTTCCTGCTTAATATAGTGTCCCTGCAGACGCGACAACGCTGGGGCGTCAATAAATGCCTTGCGACGAGTCCCCGAACTAGTGTTTTCCATTGTTTTCTTTGCTTATTTCATGCTTTTTAGTTGATTCGTTGCTGATAAAGAGAAAAAAGATAAGTTAAAGAGTAGTTTCTGTTTTCTGAGAAGTTCTATCATCGTATATTCACAGATATTCACGTGGAAGCATTTCGCGTCAGCTTCTTGTCTATTTTTTTGTCACTTCATGCCTCTTTCTTCTTGTGAGGTACTTCTTTTAACGCTAGTGAGTTTTTACGATTGACTTATTGTCTTTATCATATGAAGTACTTGATTAAAATGCTATTTCTTCTGGATGAAAGCCGAAGTTGCTGCAAGACAAGCCAACTGGCGTTCAAAGAAACGCCTCACAAGAAGGAGGAGGTTTGAAAGAAGAAGTGACAGAAGAAAAGGAAATGACAGAAAAAAATAGACAAGAAGCTGACGCGAAATGCTTCCACGTGAATATCTGTGAATATGCGATGATAGAACATCTCAGAAAACAGAAACTACTCTTTAACTTACCCTTTTTCTCTTTATCAGCAAAGAATCAACTAAAAAGCATGAAATAAGCAAAGAAAACAATGGAAAACACTAGTTCGGGGACTCGCAAGGCATTTATTGACGCCTCAGCGTTGTCGCGTCTGCAGGGACACTATATCAAGCAGGAAATCTACTCGACTGTACCTGTACTTGTGCTCCAGACGTCTAGCTCAGTAGATGACACAGGCACTGCGCTATCCGCAGTACATCCCGAACCCAGTGCTTACGATTACAAAGGGAAAGCTGTATGTAATCCCACAGGAAAGGCTCGAGGGTGCAATGAGGCTGCTTACTAATTTCAATAGATTAGCTTGAGGGCATATCCATTCACCTCATCTTACTCTTGCTCAGATTTCCGACAGAAACATTGTCGGTAGCGCATTGGCTGTGAGCTGTTATCGCTCATTGCGAGTTCGGCTGCTGGCGGCCAATTGTCGTGCCCAAGTTGTGAATTGTTTTGGGCGGTCACGACCGCGCCTTTTTTACAATGTGACGACTTGGAAAGTTTTCAGGGGTAAAAACGAGAGACTTCGAATTTTTTGATGTCAAGTGAAGTAACACTCATGTACTCAACTCCGACCTTCACGAAGAAACAATTTAGAGGCAGACATAACCTGCCGAAACGAACCTAAAAAATCTCCCTATTTGGAGAGATAGAAATTGATAAACGAACATAAAAAGTTTCCACAAAGGGTGGAGGCACAGTTGTTGGGCGGCCATTGTACGATTTGACTGCACGTTCAGAGTAACTCGCGCTTGAAAGTAGAAATAATGTTCATATTTAGCCTTTCACCTACGTATGCACTCCAAACATGTGGAACTACTGAGTTTCTGGAATTTTTCAGGAGGGTAATAAAACTCATGTTACATCTAATATCATAACTTATAACGAAGTTTCAAGAGAAGATGCAAGTTGCACTGGCTACTTGAAAAACAAATGCCTATCTCAAGACGCGTCCTCGAAATCGACATACTTGATACCATTTCATATGCGCGCATCTAGGGCGATTGACGCATATACTGATGTGTGTGTGTTGTGTGTGTGTGTCTGTCTGTCTGTCTGTCTGTCTGTCTGTCTGTCTGTCTGTCTGTCTGTCTGTAACAAAACTCATAGGGCGATTCAGTCAAAGTCCTGAGCCTAAATTTTGCATAGTTCGTGCTATAAGCATAGGAATTACCATGCAAAAGCAGAGCGCATTTGTTTGCTGGATCCCTCAGAAACCCCGCATTAGACGAATCCTTATCTTCTGGGTCCGTAAAACCACTTTGCAGAGTTGTGGATGTATACGGCAGCTAATGTGCAAGCCATGGACTTTAGTCCAAAAAACCGATCAAAACTCTACTACTTTACGAAACGACAAAAAGATTCGGTTGCGTATGTGGTTAATTTGCCAAGGTTTCACCTAAGCGTTTGAAAAATTTTTTGCATAGGTATGTAGGTCACGGTGATTACCTTCTTTATGGCGATTACGATGCCAAAAAAAGTTCAAAAATTTGTTCAAACTTGCTTTGTTCTTCTGCGTAAAGTTTCATTCACGCGGTCACCGATCTCACATGAAAAAGCATTTTATGGAATAGACGTTTACATTTCATTTGTGATAGTCGGCATAGCGCTGTGAGACTCAATGCCATCATTAGGTGAGGGAGTAAGACATGTAGAGTGGGACTAGTGCGAGCCTCTGCGAAGCAAGAAGTTTTTCACCCAAACCATTTTCTTGCACGTAAGTGATGGGCCTGCCAGGCACGCTTGCACTATTTTAATTACGAGCCCCTCAGGATATCGAGACATTGCTTCGTTCCGTCTTAGTTTTATTTTCTAAATTCAGCAAGGATATGTCAAGAAGTTTTGAAATATCTCAGATCATCAAGGTCAACTAAAGCTGTCCCAATGCCGGAAAACTTCACAGTAGACCCAGGAAGCAATGGTGTCAAACATTAGAGAAAAACATCTTTATTATTAAGAAAATAACTTCAAATTTTTGACACATATTATACCACTTATTTATAAATTTTTATTTATATTAATATCATATTATTTCGTATTATTTTTCAATAGCTCTTTTATAATAACTGAAAACCCGTAAATAAATCGGAATATTTTGATCCCTATTGAGCATTAGAGGTGCTGAATCTTGACTTTGCAACAAACATATCTCACTACTAAAAAAGCAACCTCGAAAATTGAATTCGTCATTTGGTCTTGTTTGGAGCAAGTTCGCTAATAAACTACGAAATTTTCTTTGAATTCCCAGTTTCAGCATCTGAAGAGACGCTGGATAAGGGCGCGGGACTTGCAATGTCTTGGTGTCCTGAGGAGCTCGTAATTACTGTTAGTCCGAATGTGCCTGGCAGGCACAACACTTAGATGCGAGGATATGACTCGGGTGAGGAACTTCCGCCCCAAGTGATGCACTGGTGAGGAAATGATTTAATGATGAATGTCAAGTCAGTTTCTTAGAGGCGCGTAAAGAATCGATAAAGCAAGAAGGGCCCTATGAATCAAGGCGAAAATATCCTATTTTTTCGCCAAGGTCAAGACATATGCAAGCAAAGTTTCAGCTAAAAAGAAGTACGCATAAGGCCGCTCATTTTATATGAGTTATACATCCCTTGCACGCACCCTCAAATTCTTTGCTTTACTTATATAGAGGCTGTTAATAACACTGTAACAGCCATTCCTTTTAGTAAGTTATGCTACGTTCTCTCTTCTTTGAGCCTAGGCATTCGGAATAATGTTACTAGTTGTCATACGATATTATGCCCGTGCCAGGTTTGTACGGTGGAATTCTTTATTGGCCTTACGTTTCGACAAAATCGTCTTCGTCGGAGTCCTGAAAGTGGATTACAGTGTTATCTGTGGGACCAGACCGTCAAACGCTTCCCCGCACTGCCGAGTCTAGACCACGCGCACTTAACGTACTGGGGCATGTTGATGAGAAGACGAACCTTTATCCACCGTGGTGTTAGTGAGAGTCAGTAGAGCCAGTACTTGGTTCGCACCGAAGAGACAGAATACACTGAATCTTGTCCTATGATCGGCGCTTATATATATGCAGACTATCGCTCACGTCGCTAGGATGGGCAAGAGTTCGGCTGTTATTGATACGCATTCATTTTTATTGTTCATGTTAGGATTTCGAAGGGAAATCCATGCTGCTTCAACGGTTTTCCTCACTGTAATCTCTGCCTCGTATGACAAAATAGTGCACTCAACGTCAAACTCACTGCCGTTGTGCGTTTCTATTCTGTGTTTTCCCAACGGTAACATTAGATTTGCTCGTCTTTTTGCCGCTAGATGATCCTTAAGTCCAACATTCAGCAATCTACCCGTCTCTCGACATATGTCGCCTTGCAGTTCAAGCATTCCAACTCATACACTACTCCTGCCTTCGCGTAATCACCTACTTTTCCGTATGGGCAGACAATACCTTGCTCTGACAATCATTCTGCGTCATAGAGCCTGTTCCTTACCAACTGCTTCTTGATGTTCCCATTCGTAATCACAAGCATAACATCATTTTGTAGTTGTGCTCGTCTTACACATTGTTTAATAGCTGCACTGAATTTTTGGGAAATGAAAGGCACTTTGTTATTAACCTGAGCGTGGCTACTGTCGCTTACTTGGAAGCGCAGCTTAAAGTTGTGGCAAGTAACCATTGCTATGCGCAATTTGTGCAGCCAGTCTTACGGACTCGAGTCCTTCTTGCTCACCTGTGCATACACTTACAGCAGTTCGATACATATTGCGCACAACGGTTCGTTTCACTGTGAAGGGGTGCGCTGAGTTGGCATGTAGCAGAATATTCTATGAACTTTCCTTTCGGTACCATTTTATGCGAACGGTATCACCGATAGAGGTTTATTTGGTAATACCATTTGCTGGGTTAAAAAGGAAAGCCATCCGTTGTTCGGGGCATCTCTTGTAAGCGTTATGTACCGCAACTGCTGGTTTAAGATTCTTGAGCATTCGTTCATTTCGGACTACGTCGATGTTATAACGCAGCAGTCATCGATGTAACGGCGGTACATCAACGGCAAGCGCGCAAAAACTGGTCCCTTGATCTTGCTCATGAAACAAATCGCGAGGGTTGGGGCCAGACGTTGTCCCATGGCCAATTTTTCGTATCTGTGAGTAATAACTCCCAGACTACTTGGATATATCACATATCAAACAACCTTCGATGAGGACCAGTATACTGCTTTGCTCAAACCAAAGTGACCATGTTCGAATAGTGAGTGTCCAGCAACTCAGATAAGACCTGCAGTACGTCATCGTTTTGAACGTTAGTATTTAAAGACGTACCGCGAAAGACTCGACTACACTATTCCGGTCAATATTCATATCGCGCGACTGCTTCATGAACTTTATGAATTGGACAGATTGGATTGTCTAATTTTAGCGAATCTTTCCTCCAGTCCTGCAGACTTCACCACGTTAACCCAAACATCGTTTAGCTTTCTGCACTGTGTCTGGTAATCTTTCTTGTCACTTTTGGTTTGAGCAAAACATGCATGCTGGTCCTCATCGAAGAATGTTTGAAATGTGATATATTCAAGTAGTCTGGGAGTTATTACTCACAGATAAGAAAAACTGGCCATGGGACAACCTTTGGCCCCAACCCCTGCAATTTGTTTCATGAGCAAAATCAAGGAACCAGTTTTTGCGCGCTTGCCGTTGATGTATCGCCGTTACATCGATGACTGCTGCGTTATAACATCGCGTAGTCCGAAATGAAGGAATGCCCAAGAATCTTAAACCAGCAGTCGCGGTACGTAGCGCTTACAAGAGATGCCTCGAACAACGGATGGCTTTCCTTTTTAAATCCCCACGAATGGTATTACCAGATAAATCTCTATCGGTGATACCGTTCGCATAAAATGGTACCGAAAGGAAAATTTATGGAATATCTGCTACGTGCCAACTCAGCGCACCACATCACAGTGAAACGAACCGTTGTGCGCAATATATCGAACTGCTGTAAGTGTATGCACAGGTGAGCAAGAACGACTCGAGTCCGTAAGACTGGCTGCACAAATTGCGCATAGCAATGGTTACTTGCCACAACTTCAAGCTGCACTCCCAAGTAAGCGAACAGTAGCCACGCTCAGGTTAATAACAAAGTGCCTTTCATTTCCCAAAAATTCAGTGCAGCTATTAAACAATGTATAAGACGAGCACAACTACAAAATGATGTTATGCTTGTGATTACGAATGGGAACATCAAGAAGCAGTTGGTAAGGAACAGGCTCTATGACGCAGAATGATTGTCAGAGCAAGGTATTGTCTGCCCATACGGAAAAGTAGGTGATTACGCGAAGGCAGGAGTAGTGTATGAGTTGGAATGCTTGAACTGCAAGGCGACATATGTCGAGAGACGGGTAGATTGCTGAATGTTGGACTTAAGGATCATCTAGCGGCAAAAAGACGAGCAAATCTAATGTTACCGTTGGGAAAACACAGAATAGAAACGCACAACGGCAGTGAGTTTGACGTTGAGTGCACTATTTTGTCATACGAGGCAGAGATTACAGTGAGGAAAACCGTTGAAGCAGCATGGATTTCCCTTCGAAATCCTAACATGAACAATAGGGCCCGTATGCACGTACATCCCCGCTGGGGAGGGGAGGGGATCTGAGAGGGGATACGTTATAACTCGCTACTCTACGTATCTTTCTTCTTCTTTCTCTATCTTGCTTATGAAGTTTTTCATACACTCATACCTGCGCATAAGGGATGCGGTTCCTTCCATACAAGAATGGTTTTTTGCCATTTTGTGCGATCCCCTGCGGATCCCCAGGGGATCCCCAGGGGATTAGCGCTCATTTTCGAAGTGATATATCTTCCTGAGAAGTCAATGAAGACGCCGCAAAATTGTACTCAGGATATAATACGGCACTGCTAAGCGTGTTTTCAACAGGGGAAATGGAATCTGAAGATTATGAATTTTTCGATGATCCCTAGCTTTCGAGCCAGGGATTAGCGAAGATTTCGACATCCTGAGATTTCATTTATTTTTACTATAAACATCTTCAGCAATGCCGTAGTATATCCACAGTACAATTTTACAGCGTTTTCATTGAGTTTTCAGGAAGATAAATGGCACTGAAATTGAGAAGTGATCCCCTGGAGATCCCCAGGGGATCTCCAGGGGATCACACAAAATAGTAAAAATCTAATCAATTATGCCAGTAAACTGGCATCAGTTATGCGCATATATTAGCGTATGAGAAACTTCATAAACAAGATAGAAAAGGAAGAAGAAAGATACCTTGAGTAGCGAGATATGACGCATCCCCTCTCAGATCCCCTCCCCTCCCCAGCGGGGATGTACGTGCATACGGGCATAAAAATGAATGCGTATCAATAACAGCCAAACTCTTGCCCATCCTAGCGATTTGTGAGCGATAGTCTGCATATATGTAAGGGTTGATCATAGGACAAGATTCAGTGTATTCTGTCTCTCCGGTGCGAACCAAGTACTGACTCTACTGACTCTCACTAACACCACGGTGGATAAAGGTTCGTCTTCTCATCAACATGCCCAGTACCTTAAGTGCGCGTGGTCTAGACTCGGCAGTGCGGGGAGGCGTTTGGCGGTCTGATCCCACAGATAACACTGTAATCCACTTTAAGGACTCCGACGAAGACGTTTTGTCGAAACGTAAGGCCAATAAAGAATTCCACCGTACAAACCTGGCACGGGCATAATATCATATGACAACTGCTAGCCATTCTTTTTGTTGAACGAAGTGCAAACTTGCCTTGTAGAAAGGTATTGTCAAATTGGTTATGTATGGAAACGAGATGTCCTCCACGAGCAACACACCACGCTTCTGCACTAGGCCAATCCCTAAGCGAATAATCATCGGAGGATTATTGAGCAATGTGAAACGCCGGATTTGATCTTTTATGATAGAATGACATAATTCGCTGTTACAGTCAAAGTAAACATCTGGGGGAGAGGGCTGGATGCCAAAGCGAAATTCAGGTTGAATATTTTCAGGCAACATTTGAGTTGTCTCTGTGTAATCCAGGGCTCGGCACAGCCGCACCGGATCAAACTGGATATCATCCTTGGGACAAAAGCGAAGGTGATATTGTTTTTATGGCCGAAAGACACAAAATTTGCGACGTTTTTCAACCGACGTTTCTTTCTTAGGGTTTTTCACGTTTAGGGTTCAAGGTGTCAAGGGGGACTTCATACGAAATTTTCAAGATCAAAGGGGACTTCGTTTTGAATTTTTCTAGTTACAGCTCATGCCGAGCCTTGGTGTCAACACAATTCCTTTTGTGATAAATTCTGCACTCCAGCAATTGTTTGCAGAGATGCTCTCACACATAATGTAGCAGGTGGAAACGATTTAAGAAGCATATCTGAGTTTTTAAGTCATTAACTTACCAGAATCACACCGGCACAAAGCGGTCTGACATTGCCTTGCTCACCCACTGATGACAGAAGAGAGGATGCAGTCCCATTGTAGATTTGGTCATATAGTGGGAAATAGTCACTAGGCGGAATGATAGGGGGATTAGACCGTTAGTGGTAGAAAGTATCATTCTTCCCATTCACCTTAGGTACTTACTTACTTAGATACTTAGATAGCCCGTCCACGTGACGAGCGGGCCCCAGCACAGATGTCATTGATCGGACACCCTCGCTTCGGACATCCACGACCTTCTTGGTCGTCGTCGGTGGCTGCGTCCTCAAATTCCAGGGGCGAAAGTCGTATCCAGCTGACTTCTCAGCTGGTCCATCCGTTCCACGAACTCGTCTGCCCATCTCGTTGGTGGTCTTCCTCGAGGACGTTTGGCTTCGCGAGGATCCACTCAGATGTTCTTAGTGTCCATCCATCGTCCGTTCTTCTCATTATGTGACCGGCCCATCGGTGTTTCGCTTTCGCAACGTATTCTGCTGGGTCACGAAGACGGGACATTCTTCTCATATCCGTCCTGCGAAGTCCTACTAGATGTTGCTTGTGTCGGGTCATCTTCAGAAGACTGCGCTCGAGCGCTCTGTGGGTGGTCCTTAAAGCTTTCGACGTAACTACGGTGTCGGCCCAAGTCTCAGCTGCGTAGTAGAGCGCTGGGAGAACGGTTGAGTCGAACAGGTGAGCACGAAGCTCCGGGTCCGCCAGTTGGTCGGTGGCTTCCTTCAGAGACCCGAAGGCGGCCTAGGCTGCTCTTCTTCTCCTGTTAAGTTCTTCCCTCAAGTCGTTCTCCATGTTCATCGAACGTCCGAGATACACGTAAGAAGACGTCTCCATGATAGGGGTGGCCTTCCAATTCCATTTCTGCATCTTCGCAAAGGGCGTTCTTCATGAACTGAGTCTTCTTCCGATTTATTCAAAATCCGATTTTCTTCCCTACTTCGTTTACTTCCTTCAACATCGCCTCTGCTTCAGGATACTGCTTGAGAAAAGGACGATGTCATCCGCAAAACGAAGGTTGGATAGGAATCTCCCATCAACTCGTATGCCTCTCTCTTCCCAGTCTAGTGACTTCATCACCCACTGCAAGCCCGCGGTGAACAGCTTCGACGTAATAGTGTCGCCTTGTCGAACCCCCTTCCTAACTGGAATGGTTAGGGGGCGATAGAATAGCTGCATCGTTGTTGTACAGTCCTTGTAGCAGTCGGCTAATATCCTCACGTAAGCTGGTTCCACTCCTTGATCGACTAGCGCAGACAGGATGGCGTTGGTTTCGACGCTGTCAAAGGCTTTCTCGTATCGACGAAGGTCAGGACGAGAGGCAGTCGGTACTCCCGGCAACTTTTATGACCCTCGAAACCGTCTGGATGTGGTCCATGCAGCTGAATCCTTTGCGAAATCCAGCTTGTTCTTGGGGTTGGGCTTCATCCAGTGTCCCAGATATGCGTGCGAGGATAATCTTCGTGAAGAGCTTGTACAGCACACTCAGCAGGCATATTGGGCGGTGATTTCGAAAATCTTCCCGTTCACCTTTTTTTAAAAAGAAGGACGGTTCTTGACGTTCTCCACTGGTCGGGGATTTTCTCCTTCTGAAGGTAAGAAGTCAAATGCGACGCTAGAATCTCGTGTAGACGGTGTCCTCCGGCTCGCAGAAGTTCGACGGAAAGATGATCTGGTCCTGGAGCCGTGGACGTCTTCATGAATTGTATCGCGATACGCACTTCAGCAGGTATTATAGAATTCGTGGTGGTACTTCTCCAGTGGGAACAACGGGCATCTGCACGGGTGTTGATGAGCGGAAGAGGTTGGTGTAAAAGTTTTTCGCGATAGATTCCATCTTGTACCGGGAAGAAGTGGAGTCCTGTCTTCGTTCAGTAGTGCAGCCAGCGGTACGTGATATTCGCAGAGGTCCCTTCGGCACTTCTTGAGACTTCGTCTTCTCTCGGCTGCTTCCAGTATCTTGGCTTGCCTGTACTTCCTGAGATCCTCCTGCAAAGCTGTTCTGCAACTGGCATTAGCTATCAGTCGCTCGAGATGGGGTGCATTCGGATCTTGCCTCAGAAATCTTCTTCTTTCGAGCATTTCCTTGGTGGTCCTCGAAATACGTTCAAGTTCTTCTCAGAGGTCACTGAGGCACATTCTCCGCAGGCTCGCAATCCTTTCAGAAGCCGGTCGTAGTCGTGCGTTGGGTCCTCCTCGGTGGGCCAGTCACATCTTGATATGAGCTCCTCCAGCCTGTTACCGTCATAAACGACTTCCTTCCTTTTCGCGACACCGTGACAGACTTTCTTTTCCAGCCTTCGGCTAAGTCGTATCTTGGTTCGAAGGAGCGGCGATCGGAGCCACTGCAGAAGGATGGAACTACTGAGACATCGAGCAAGCTCCACCTTCGTTTGGTGAGAATGTGGTCGATCTCCGCGTGAGTCGTTCCGTTGGGCAATTTCCATGTCCACCGGCGATGTTCTTTCTTCATTGAGATAGAATTTTCCATGGAAGAGTCGTGCGGCGGAGAGAAGCCCAGCGAGACGGTTGCCGTTTTCGTTCCGGAGCCCATATCCAAACTTCCCGATCCTATATTCCTTTTCCAGTGGCATCCCGATTTTCGCGTTGAAGTCGCCCACAACAAACTTGTAGAAGGACTTTTTGTTGCGGACGACCTCCTCCACGTCTTCGTAGAAAGCATCTAGTTCTGAGTCGTCAGCTGCTGATGTTGAAGTGTAGCAGTTGATGATGCTGATGGTCTTCTGACGTGGAGGGCGTAGTCGTAGGATGGCTAGTCGGGGTGATAGGATCTCGTGCGAATCGACAAGATGGACGATAGATGGGTGGACGACAAAACCAACGCCTCCCACGTTTGTGATGGGACCTTCTCACCACGAATGATGAGCGTCCCATCATTCATCTGTCGCACGTCCTTCTTCCTGAACTTCGTTTCCTGCAGAGCGATGATGTGGTACTTGATGTGCTCTGCAGCGTCGAGAAGAGCGTGGACGTCGGCGTTTGTGGAGACTGTCCTGGTTGTAGGTGCAGAGCATGAGGCAGTCTCCGTGGCGTGTCGTCCGGGCAGACGTGTCGTTTTTGTCCGATCCAAAAGGCGCCCTGAGGACCCTGACATCAGTCTTGCTACCACCCGGCGCCGTAGGCGGGATTCAGTGGCAAACTGAGGGGGGGGGCGGGGAAGGGGGGGGGGGGCGCCTCTCCCCGAGAATGGGTCGCGAAATTTTTGGAAGTTACTTAAATGTGTTATAAAACTGTGAAGATGACTTGCTTTTACTTGTAATTCATTAAAATAATTTTTAAAAACTTTTAAAAATTCAGTTTAGCTTTGTAAAAAAATTTTTTTCGGGGGCGTGACTGCCGCCACGCCCCTTTTTTCTGAAATTTTGGGGTCAGGAGCCTATTCTGGGAAACACCTCAAAAAATTTTTCAGAGTGCATGGCTGACGCCACGCACCTTCATTAAAAAATTTTTTGTCGCCCCCCCCCCCCGAGCCGAAATCCTGGGTACGCCACTGGTGGGATCCGATGTGCAGGGTTTCTTTCTATTCTTCTAACTGGTAGAGTAATGAAATTTTCCCCTACAAGAGCAGACTTACTAGGCCAACTCTTGATTTCCACGGGGCAATCGCTGACCCCGGGCTTGTAGCGGGGAGAACCGCCTAGCGACCTGAAAATCAGACGGCGGTGGATCTGGCCTGGCCGGCTCTTAGCTAGGCATCCGGCCGAAATCGGAAACGTCAAACTCCTTCACAGCTTGGGAGGCCCTGCCAGAGTATACACTCGGCTGTGCATCGCAGTTCGACACCCATTGTCACCTCCACGCCACGATGAGGCGGCCGACCATTGTGGAGGTTTACCTTAGGTACACTTGATAAAATGAGCGAACCTTCCAATGGTTTGCGAGCAGACATCTTGTTTTCCGCAGTCAAGATCGTGCGTTTAAGAACAAATTCATTACCGTCACCTTATATATAAAGCTGAATGTCTGTCTGTACGTCTGTATGTACGTTTCGAATAGAAAATTCCAATTCTAAACCAACCCGGACCAAACTTTGCACACATGCATTTCCTGGCTGGGCGGGTGCCGCAGGCTACTTTTTGTTTTCGATCGATATCGACTTTGTCGACTTATTGCAAACTTTGAACTACGAGCTGGGGGTTGGCACAAGTGGATAAGTAATGCTGATTACGACTATAGTAACCCTATGTAAGATTACCCTGATTTTACGAGTATAAGACGCGGGAAAATTTTTTTCTAAAATCGAACGGCACAGACAAGCCAAAGCAGTTCGCGACTAAAAAACCGTGCACTATATGCTGCATACTGCCTGAGAGTATTATGCGGCATAAGTCTCGTTTTCCGAAGTAAAGCGGACGGCTGAGCGGCTCGTTTGAAAAATCGAAAAAGGTGCGTTCTATACTTGTGAACTTAGTGTACCTTCTATTCTTATCGAATTTTGCGAATTTTGTGCCAGGGGCTAAGAGCTAGCACAGCACGGTAAGGGGTGGAGGACTATACTTTGCCGAAAAGAGGTGCTCCCACTAAACATCAGCGCTAAAGCACGCAGCTCCAAGCATTACAGATTTGTACCAGCCGTGCGTGTCGGGTGGAGCCTATTGAAGACATAGTGTGGTCGCCTACCCGTGGGTAAGTCAGCATGCTTGTTACGAAAACGGGGGGCGCCAGGAACTGCATATAAGTGGGACAGGGACAGGGAGATGTTGAGTGTTATAGAATGGTAAATCCTATTATGTCATAATGACAGGCACCAAGCGGGCCGAGTATCCCAGCTAGTTCCAGATAAATCGAATGGTCAACGTCAAAGAAAAAATCTGACCATAAACTAACCAGGTGACCGTCTTCAGGTCCCTGAGAGAGGCTTTTTTGCTAAAACGTAGAGCCAAATAAGCTTCTAATCATACCCTGTATGGCACAGAAAGTCTTGAGATAACTTCCAGAAAAAGATGCCCATCTTATTAAGAGCAAAGTGAATATGATTTACGTCGATGTTCCTTTACGTTTATGGTAAATTGCAAGTAAAGCAATGACTTTGAACCATCCAATGACGAAAAATAAGCATTCATACCTGAGGCGAGAGCAAGTGCTTCAACCGCCTTTTATAGAGAAGCTTGGTTCTTGAAAACTTACATCCTTGTTGCCTCGACATGAATGCAACTCGCGTTTGAATCAACAACACTTCCATATGGACAACTGCTAGCAGTCGTTTCACAAAAGAGATAGAAAAGAACGAATACAAGTCGCAACAGCATAGCTTCTAATGCAGCTCACAGCGAATGATAAAATGCGCTCGTAGTCACTGAAAGGGGCACTTTATGCAAAGATCTTATCTAAGAAGTTATAAGCTGATAAGCGCTACAGGCTATATCGTGGGAAAATCGTATTGGTTCCTAATGCAGAGCATATCTGCAAAGAATACACAAATAAACTTGTTCATGTACCTTACTTCTTAATCATCGCGCCTACCGTCTTTACAAGAGAGCGGTTTCAGTGTCTGCTCACTGTTGAGGTTTGCAAAAGTCAGAGTCAAGAAAGAGCTGCATACCGATCACCTTCCTACACAGATTAATGACACATGCAACATACATCGAATGATTCAACATAGTAGGTGGAAAATATTCGAAAGTTTTTTGCTCGATCTACAAGACTTTCAAAAAAAACGCGCAAACGTTGAGCATAAAGGGTGAGAATTCTCTCTATGCAAGCACATCTAGTCAGAGGCTCTTTTGACAGCAGTGCTGAGAACTTTTTTTAGAAAAGCAAAACAATTAATGTTTTCAAAAAAGCAAATCAAATTATCATTTGTCGAGGAGGTCTTTGATTTGCTTATAGCCTTGAAGTGCATCGAGCAAATTTGAAATCTTTGTCTTCTTTATCTGCGAAGCACTTGAGTGAGGTACTATGAGCTCTGAAAGAATTAAACTCATGACGAGATCAAACTGACTGTAAGAACTTGTACGACTCGCAGATGGACTAGTGTCGAGGAAGAGTATAGCAGACAAATTCTTCTTGCAAGGATAAATCAACGGACATCACTGCTCCATTCAAGCTCAATGGAAACTCCAGTGATAAATTCCTGCTTCCACGCCTTCAAATTTTCGCCTCAAAAGCTCTCATAACTTCCTGCTTAATGAGCTTCGCAATTGGGAAAACAGTTTTGGAATCAGCGTTCAAACTCTTTCAGGATTATATGCATTCTAAAGAGGCCACTTTGATCAAGGATCCTTCTCTGTTTAGTGATTGCTTGCTAATGGGAGAACTTCAACGAGACCTTTCATGTTAGCAAAACATGCATTTTGAGCCCATCACATGTCCCTTTCTTCGCTAACAGGAACATCATCGCGTTTTTTGTTGCAGCCAGTTCCCTATGCAGGTGACTCTCTTGTTGCACCGATTCCTGCGAACACACACACACACACACACACACACACACACACACACACACACACACACACACACACACACACACACACACACACACACACACACACACACACACACACACACACACACACACACACACACACACACACACACACACACGCACACACACACACACACACAACTGCTGACTTCATTGTCGTAAATTACCGCTCCCTCGTCGTGGAATGAATGTGAATTTTACCGCTGCTGTTTACACGAAGGTTACAACTGGTATGATAGAACTTGATAAAAGATCTTTTTTCTTGTAAAATAAATCAATAGAAGATGATTCACTGCAAAAAGCAGCCTACGGGGGGGGGGGGAGGTGTTGCAAACATATGTTTGCAATGTTTGGCGCCGATCATTTTACACAAAGAAGTTCCTACAAAAAACACAAAACGCGATTAACAATTTACCGACACCCAGCTTTATATGTGTATAGATTGGGACCCTAATAAGCAATCTGCATCAAATGTCAGCTTAAAAGCGCAGTTATTTGGTATCCAGTACTTGAATTGAAAAAAGTAGCATATTAGAAACCCGCATCAGTGTTTCTGTACAGTTATCGCGATTTCATGCCACTTAAAGCCTCATTTTGGAATTCAAAGGGTTATAACTTATTCCAAAAGTCACCTCACAGCAAGAAAAGCAGATAATCAAAGTTTGAAGACGCGTCTTGAGAAATACATTATTTTTTTTTCAATTTATTGATGCGACTTAGTATCCTCTTCTTATAGTTCGTTCTAAGCTATATAACGGGTCGAAATATAAGCTTTGTTACTTTTCCTCCATCTTCCTTCGAAAAAACTCCACAAACTCCGGTATGTTCACATGTTCGGGCTACATGCATACTTAGGTGAAAGGCTAAGTATGAATATCAACTGCACTTTTAAGCACACGAATTACAATAGACATGCAGTCAATTTTGAATAACGGCGCACCAAACGATTTGCGTCATCAACCTTGGCAAAAAATTTTTCAATCGTCCAAAAAATGAAGGGCCTTGCAAAATGCTCGTTTATGTCAGTTTCAAGCTCTTCAAATGAGGAGATTGAAAAGTACGTTTCGGCGGCTCATGTCTGCCGAAACGAACTTTTCAATCTGATAATTAAAGCTTGGAGATGACTCATCAATAACTTTGGTCTTTCCACGTTCACCCCTGTGAACAATGTCTGCTTTCTGAGCATGATAGAACTTATCGCTTTTGTGCTGTATGGGCGGAGGTCATACAGATATCTTTACAGATCTATTTGATCACTAAACGTGTGCTGGTAGTATCAAGGCGCAAAGCAGGTGAACCAAGAACCAACCCAGAGGTGCGATAGGTGGAGCAGGGCCCCCCAAAAGTTAAGGTGGTTCCAACTACCACTGGCCGGCCAAAAGTGAAGGTGGTAGTGCCGGACACTCACTTCCCAAAAACAGGGGGGGGGGGGGGTAGGGTTAGCGTCGACCGAGCCTATCCTCCAGGTCGTTGCCGCCAGTGCGCGGAAAATAAGCGAAACAACTGCAAAAGAGATCATTGAAAGCATATTTATATGTATACAGTGGCATAAATATCTAAAATAAAGTGCTTACCAAATGGTGTATTTGTAAGGGTTGTTTCAGACTGCCGCACTGACTGCAGCAGACTGCAGCTGACTGCACTGACTGCAGCAGACTGCAGCTGACTGCACTGACTGCAGCAGACTGCAGCTGACTGCAGCTGACCGCACTGACCGCACTGACCGCACCGGTCGCAGCCTCTTCTCTCAAAAGAAAAAACAACCGCGATTATTAAAACAGCGTGATTTACGCATAAGAAGATCATAAGTTCAATCAGAATTCTTCTCAATCAAATTTTGGCGATAGTTTTCTTTGGTATGTTCGTATTTGTGCTAATTCCTCCTATCATTGCATATACCTGTTTTGTAACATTCTAAACCGTGTTGTCTTTTGCTTTTACGTATATATTGTTGTTGTTTGTTTGAACCAAAGCTATTTATCCTCTCCGCCTGCAGGCTGCAGCCGCTGCGGTCGTTGCGGTCAGTGCGGTCAGCTGCAGTCTGCTGCAGTCAGTGCAGTCAGCTGCAGTCTGCTGCAGTCTGCTGCGGTCAGTGCAGACTGCTGCAGTCAGTGCGGCAGTATGAAACAACCCTAAGTAAAACTCAGCTAGACTTTATAACGTATGCGAATAAAGTAGGCCGATCCAGGTAGTACCACCGAGAATCAGAATTTCGAATAAGAAAATAACGTAAAATCACGCAAAATTTCCACTGTTATGAATCTGATAGTTGAAGATGTCAGCGATTGCGACTTCATAGGTTTTGAAGCTAAGTGTTGTCCTACCAGATAGTGAAGGAAACAGCTCGATTTGAGTAGTGGCCGCCGAGAACGAAAATTTTAAAGAATTAAGCGATTTTAGGTCACTTACAGTTAGTGACAGCTGATGTTCAGACTCCTATAAATCTGGAATGTGAAGGTGTGCAATGTTGCGACTTCATAAGTTTTGTAGGGTAAGGTTCGCCTTATCAGAATATATCTTAGCCGTACCGATCCATAGAGACACCGCCGAGATTCAGGCTCTCAAAAAAACAGGTAAAAAATTGTTTTTTGAAATTCAACAGCTCATAACTTCTTCAGAATTGCATGAATCATGTTGCGACTTCATACGTTAGATTCTCCTCTTCAAGAGCTTTCAGAAGATATATAATACGTGGGGGTCCAATGATTTTTGCGGCTCTAACCCAGGGTGGATACTTTTTACCTCAAAGTCCCCGCGGCGGTCTCCAGCCAATACATTAACATGGGCGAGGTGGAGACTTTGGGGTGAAAAGTCTCCACCCTGGGTTAGAGCCGCAAAAATCATTGGACCCCCACATATTTTATATCATCTGAAAGCTCTTGAAGAGGAGAATCCAACATATTAAGTCGCAGCATGATTCATGCACTTCTTAAGAAGTTATGAGCTGTTAAACTTCAAAAAGCGGTTTTTTACTTGTTTCTTTGGGAGCCTGGATCTCGGCGGTGTCTTGATGGATCGCTACGGCTAAGACACATTCTGATAAGGCGAACTTTACTCCACAGAACCTATGAAGTTGCAACATTGCGCACCTTCACGTTCCAGATTTATAGGAGTCTGAACATTAGCTGTCATTAAGTGACCTAAAATCGCTTAATTTTTTAAGTTTCTCGTTCTCGGCGGCCACGGCTCAAATCAAACTGATTCTTTCACTGCCTGGTAGAACAACACTTACCCTTCAAAACCTATGAAGTCGCAACTGCGGAGGTCTTCAGCCAGCAGATTTGTAACAGTGGAATGATTTTTCACGACTTTTCATTATTTTATCATTCGAAATTCTGGTTCTCGGCGGTTACTGCCTTGATCGACCCACTGCATAGACATATGCTCTCATTACTTTCTTTTGCGATCCTTTTGCTCATTTTCCTTTTTTTAAGCTTCAGCAAAAAGTTTTTTTTTCAAACCCATAAGTGAAGGTGGTCACTCCGTACCAGCTCAAAAGTGAAGGTAGGCAGAGACTCGGCTCCGACTATCGCAACTCTGAACCAAACGTTCCTTCTCTTCTGCATATCTAAGGAAAACAAGCTAAGCTAATGAACTCTAATCTTTGTCTGATGATTTTGAAACAGTCGTCATTAATGATAGTTGTATAATGTGATCGCGGTGTTTTATCTTGCTCATAAAACAGAATGCGTGAGCAGCTTTCTTCCCAACATTGACTCCTTCAAAGTGCGCCTATCAGCTGTAAGATAAAGCATTTTACAACCATAGTGTTTGCTATTGGTTATTACACTAGACGAGTGGGGACTTCAGCAAGCTCCCCGGACATGT